GGGAACAACAAAAAAAAAGTTGTCTTTTCAGAAAGAAAGCAATAAAAAGTTTTGTTTGTTCAGGACACAATCTATTCCATATGAGAAATGGAAAGTTAGGAAATCCAACTTGAAATATTTCAAAGTGTGGGGGTGTCTAGCCAAAGTTCAAGTTCCCATTCCTAAAAGGATTAAAATAGGACCTATGACGGTTGACTGTAAAATTAGACTCGAGTAGTCTAGTGAAGGGTCTAAATGACCTTGGAAAGAAAAAAAAAGGAGAATGTACTTAATAAAGAGATTGAGAGGCATACTAAATGTCAAAGGACATCTACTTCCTTCGAATATGATTTTGTAACATTTATTGTGTCTTCTGTAGACTCATCCTTTTTGAAAGATAGTGTCAATAGTGAGATTGATTCAATCTTGAGCAACCATATTGGAGGTTAATCGACTTTCTTCCAGAAAGTAAACCTTTGGGTTCAAAGTGAATCGTCAAAAGGAAAATGAAAGTCGATGGAACTATTGACAAATACAAAGCAAGACTTTTTGTCAAAGGTTGTAGACAAAAATAAGGTTTTGATTTTGTCGATACATACTCGCCAGTAACTAGAATTACATTCATTCAGATGTTAATTGCATTAGCTGCGGTATATGACCTCCAAATTCATCAAATGAATGTGAAAACAATTTTCATAAATAGGGAATTGGAGGAAGAAATTTACATGGAATAACCCGAGGGTTCTGTGGTTCCTGATAAAGAAAAGAAAGTGTGTAAACTTGTTAAGTCACTTTATGGACTAAAACAAGCACCCAAACAATGACAAAAGAAATTTGACCAAACTATGTTGGTAAATGGATTTAAGAATGATGGAAGTGATAAATATGTTTACATTAAAATCACAAGGTCATTGTTTGTTTGTATATTGGTGATATGTTGATCATCAGTAGAGACACTAATGACATAAATGCTACTAAACATATACTAGAAAGCAACTTTCATATGAAAGATCGTGGAGTTGCTGATGTGATCTTAGGTATAAGAATTCTTAGAACTATAAGATGTTTAGCATTGTCACGGTCTCATTACATTGAAAAGGTACTTGACTAGTTCAAATATTTGGATTTTAATATTGTCAAGACTCCAATAATGTGAGCTTTACACTTTAAAAGAATGAAGGTGAAAGTGACTCACAATTGGATTATGCTAGAGTATTAGGAAGTATGATGTATATCAGAAAGTGTACGCGATCAGATGTAGCATGCGCTATTAATAAACTGAGTTACTTCATGAATAATCCCAATCAAACTCATTGGATGACAATAAAGAGAGTTTTGGGGTATTTAAAGCATTCTCAAAACTATGTCTTGCATTATACAAATATCCTACTGTATTGAAAGGATATAGTGATGCAAATTGAATCACCGGGATCAAATGAAGTAAAATCCACGAGTGGATATGTATTTACTCTTGGTGGATGAGCAGTCTCTTGGAAATCTTCCAAAAAGACATGTATCGCTAGCTCTGCAATGAATTCTGAGCTAGGTGCTCTAGATAAGGCCGGTGAACAAGTTGAAAGACTTCAGAATTTCTTGATAGATATTATTTTTGGCCCAAAACTTTGGCATCAGTATGCATACACTTTGATAGTCAAGATGCAAAAGGTAGGGCATGGAGTATGATGTATAACGGAAAGTCTCGTCATATAAGACATATACATGATACCGTTAGAAAACTACTCTCTAGTGGAATTATCACAATTGACTATGTAAAGTCAAATGATAATGTGTCGGATCCACTTACAAAAAGGCCTAACTAGAGAGAAAGTTGAAAGATCATCTAAGGGAATGAGTTTACGGCTTAGGACAAGTCATCATGGCGGTAACTCTATCTAGCAGACTGGAGATCCCAAGAGCTAGATTCAAGGAGAAAAACAAAGTTGTGACTGACGGTTCGACATTGTCAACTAACTCAATCCATTCCCATGATGAAGACAATGCTCAGGAACAATGATACAACATTAAGGCTTGTTAATGAGTTAATAAAGCTTAAAGTTTTTAATGATTTGCTAAGTTTGACAGATTTGACCAAATAGTGTATCTACGCGATAACACGTTTAGAAATCACCTATGTGAGTGTGAAGTGTGAGCCTCTTCAAAGAGGATGATTGTCTAAAGTCCATCTCTCTATAATCTCATGAAACTAGGAGGTGTTCATGGCTGAAACGAACACAATCGTAAGAACCATAAATGGTAAAGGGTTAATTGTGTGACATATGGTTGTCTAGGTATACATCAAAGCTCGACGGTTCAAAGATATCGCATCTACCGATTGACCGAGTATATCCGACATATGTTCACTACGGAAAGTCCAAGGGAAAACCTACTTATCCAGATGCAATTAATTCTTGCTTGTAAAGTACACATACTTGTCCGTTTCTTTGTCTTGGAGTCATTCTCCATTCATGCGGGGGATTGTTAGGTTTTAAAAGGTGTGAATGTAAAATGAAGAGTTGCGACTTTTATGAAGAGTTGCGACTTTTATGAAGAGTTGTGACTTTTATGAAAAGTTGTGACTTTTATGAAAGGTTGTGACCTTTCCAAAAGATTGTGACTTTTCCAAAGGTTTGTGACCTTTCCGGTAAGACACAATAAGAACCTTTTCACACTACCCTTTGTTTTCTATAAATTGAGGCATTTCCTCTCATTTTAGTTGAACTAATTTTTCTGGACTTCTTCTACTACTACTAAATCTAGTATTCAAAGTGTACTTTACTACCGTTGAGTGGTTCGCTGACATCGTGGTTTTAGGTACCGACCGGTGAGTAAGATCGTTCTATCCTGGGAGGATATATTCTGTTAACCTCGGATACTTGAGGGGAATAATTTCCTTAAGGGGACACTGTGCATTCAGTGGGCTCGATTTTCTTTCTTTGAGAAAAATATTTTTATATTGTTTCTAATCTGTTTCTGATTTTATTTTCTCTATAATTTTCTAGTTTGAAAATATACTCTTTAAACTTTGTTGTTTCTTATCAGTTTCTTCAAAGTTTTGTTCTAAGTATCTTAGGAATACAAGATGGACAACAATTTTTAAATACATAAATTTCACTCTTAAAAATTTATAAAGTTACGGTCTACCGTAATTTACATAGTAATTAAATGAAGAGGGTATATTACTAACTCCATTTGTGATGACTAATACCAAGTTTAACTACGTATTTATTTTTCCGTCATGAAAAAGTAATAATACAAAAAAACATTATTCTCAGTTTATCACAGAAGAAAACAAATTAGATTTATAATTAGGAGACAGACAAATGCAAAGTGATTTAAATTTGAAGTTAATGATGGTGTTATTAAAACCGAATGAATGATATGCCTTTTCGTCTTATTGAAGAATAAAAACATTCAAGCAGATTGGATGGGCCCCAGAAGACAAATATTCAACTCCCCCACCGAAAGTAACATCAGATCTAAATAAAAAGAGAGTAAAATATTGTGGAAAAAAAGAAAAAAGAAAAAAGAAGTAGAGTGGTCAAAGTGAAGATTGACCCATCTCATTAATGGGCCAACGGAGAATGACATGCGTCATAATGGTATCATCAATGGGCCCCCTCTTTGTATATCTAGCTAGACATCTCAACTTGTTTTCATTATATTAAAATGATCATCTAAATATCCTTTTTGTGTTATGTAGATGTCTATGAAATACAATAAAAATGAGTTGAAATATCTACATGTACATTTTTATAAGAATATTTAATTGCCAAGTGAAATCAAGTTAAAATGTCTATGTATTATACCTCTATTAAATAAATTATTAAATTGATCTTTTCAAGATTAGTAACATTCTATTAAATAAATTATTAAATTGATCTTTTCAAGATTAGTAACATTACATAAAACATATCATTTAGGCACGTTCTAAATTGAAATAGTAGTATTTCATATATTTGATGGGATAGTAATTCTTCCACTATATCATGTTCCGAATTTTAACACCATTTCATTTTCATATATGACATAACTTAAAACAACTTTTAAGAATTTGAATTACAAATTTTAAATTAACATGACTATCAAACTAACTTTGCGACCTTTTAAAATTATTCTTCCAATATAACTAATGGCGGAATACCTTCGACATGTATCGTCACAACAGCACAACTATCTTGACTAATAGAACCCATTATTTTCTTGCTTATCCTAGTTTTCTATTCATCTAAGTTCATTTGATCTATTATTCTAATGTACTTTGCTTTGAAATCTGAATCAATTAGGTAGGCGTAGGCTACATGTTATACTCTCATTGATTTATCCAAAGCCGTACCTCTCTAATTAACAAGTATCATACCTAAGAACTCAAATAATTAACAATCACTCATTAACATTTAAGATTAGATACCTAAAGTAATTAATCGTGCCTACCAATCTCTTCAAGTCTTTCTTTTTTCTTAAAAAAAAGTTGTAGTTTTTTTAATAAATATAATGGACTCACACGTTTGCCAGATGGACCAGTCCCATGAGATAGCCCGTGGGCTAGTGGACAGGCCTAGAGCTTCAAATGTACATACGAGATACTCCAACCCACTTGAAGTTTTTGAGCCTGGATTTATCTGAAACAATCTCTGTAATCAATAGGGTTATGTTTGCACCCACTTTTGAGATTATACTATATGTCGTTGTTATTGAAATGATTAATCAGAATATGCCTACTTATTTCTTTAAGCCTGTTACCTGTAGTACCCCTCCAAACACGTTAATCTTGTGGAAAGTCAGAGATGCAGAGGCGTAATAACTGATATAATTTTGCTATAAGTCAAAATTAAGAGGGGGTCAGGGATCGACATGTTACATAGATGAGGAATAAATAGCTTGTGCAAATCAATTCATTTATAATCACAAGGAAATTGACTAATATGATTTCAAGTGTATTTGCTTCTTCCGTCAGGTTGATCAAATAACATCAATAATGTTGAATTTGGTGCTTCATGAGCACATTACCCCGTGTGACTTGTCTATGCTGATGCGCGGCCGAGTCTAGACATGGAATTGACATCAACATGATCTGTCTCATCATAGATCTCCTCCTACACCAAGAAATTAGTACCAATATTAGCTGATAGATATAAAAATAAACTTACAGGAGGGAACATTTTCTTTACTTTTAGAAGCTCCTCAATGACATCTTCCATGGTAATGATTCCTATTACTTCTTCGGAAGAAAGAGTTGAAAGTGATTTTTCCTTAATTGGCAGGATCTCAGGGTGAACTTCCTCTGACCACCTTCTGCTTTTTGACAACTCCCTTCGCGAAATACTTGCACTGAATCTCTTTGACTTCCTCAATGATCGTCTGGCCCTCGAGCTTTTCCTTTGATAAAACATTTCCCCAGGAATGTTCAATCTCACTTCTCTTACTGATATAGCATTTCACATGTAGAAATTACCGCGGAAAAGTAAGACAGAAGGCAGAGGAATAGATATGCAAGATTACAGTAAAATGACTAGAAAATATATAGAACTGTAAGTTCTTCCTCACCACCAGTGGACAGATTGGCGCTTCCTTTCTCGATTGTGCCATTTGGCTTTTTCACAACAGCAGCCATGTGGCTGAGACCTTTCTGGAATTCATTTAGTATGTCATACAATGGCATTGTCGCTGAAACTCTAGCATGTTGTGCAAACGATGTCAGGGGACTATTTAACTTAGCTAAGAAAATATTACAGCAGTTTGTTAGGTGTGAGAACTGAGAGTCAAATAAGAAATTGGAATTTGTGATACAGACTATTATGCAGATAACATCCAAGAGACAATTTGGATATTTTGTTTCCAGCTAAACTACCTTGGGATACGCCGTATTGTTACATTCTTCACGGGCACATTATCACTTGGATTAATCGTCACCAAATTCTTCACCTGTTAATCAGAACAATAAATTCTTATGATGTTATCACCATAATTAGTAATTAAGCATACATTAACAGAGTCAGGCATCTATATGAGACAGCTATTTTAACTCAAAGAAGAACTCGATTCTGAATCATGATCCAGTTTGAATCAATAAAGATTCAGGCGGTTTGTAAAACCACTTTCTCACATCCTAGGTGAAGCTAAGTAGTTTGTAATTATACTTCATTGTTTGACAAGAAATTTCTGCTTATCAGTTCTCTTTGCACTAATTACTGAGTCTTTTAGTCTCTTGGAAAATCTGAGAAATTTTTATTCCTTTAAACCCTTTGTTTCCTTTTCCTCTTTCTGTGGGTACTGTATCTCTTCATACTTCTTTGCTATTTATTGCTCCATGGTCCATGGATGGCCATCATACTATTTTATTGGAGCAGGCACGTGTAATGGATAAGATGAAAGATTTTGCTCTTGGGACACCAGCACTTCCCAGCTTAATTCTAGTAAGAAGGTCAGCATAATTTCCAGGGATATGTTTAAGTTCATCTATTTTGAAACTTAGCATGAACAACATATATCACATATACCACTTGGATCTTATCAAATTATTATCGGAAAGGTAACTATATCTCAGCAACACATTCTCATGTGCATTACTGAGACAGCAGAAAATAATTACCAGGACAAGTCCAATTATGTTTGCTCGATGTTCGTTGTACACTGGAACCCTGCTATGTCCCTTCTCCATGATCAAATTTATCAGAACCCTGCTCAAAGACATCATTTATTAGGTATGCATAATAAATTATAGACGACATTATCAATTTCTATCTATTTTGGTAGTGGTCATGTTAACTCTAGTGAAATGTACCTGTCAAGATTGGCATTGACATCAATAGCAAAAGTTTCAGATATAGGAGTCATGGCATCCCTTGCAGTCTTCTCAGTGAGCTCAAGTGCTCCTGCAATTATATTTGTCTCGTGAAGGGATAATTCTCCTCCTTTTCCGGCCTGATTAGCAACAACAATGAGAAGTTAATAACATATGACATCTCCACAGTGTCTAAGAAGCCTCTAAGGAGTTTGAGACTATACAACAGTCAAGTGGTCGGGATTGGCAAGTAGATGTACAATTTGCATCAAACTAGGATTAAATCAAGGAGGAGGAAATGTAGATTCTGAATAGTGGTCGGTCCAACCATGTTTAGCAGAACCCAGTGTTATGTGTTCGAACCCTATATATGTGCAAAAAATTAATAAGTCTTTTCTGGATTTGCCTTTAATTCTGAAAGCACCAAACATTTTTCATCCTTAAAAACTAAAAGAGGGACAGAACAAGAGTCTTTCAGCAGAGAGTGATAGGTAAATACCTTATTACCGTGCATGTCAACTAATGTCATCAATTCAGCTCTTCGAAATAGAGCCTTATGCCTTTTCCCCAACAGGTAGTCTAAGATCTGGTGATTAAGAACATAAGAAGGCAAAATTACATACTATTCTTTTCTTGATGGAATAAGTAAATTCATCAATTTATTTTTTCTGTTGTTGTTGGAAAAAACACAATAAGCTGCGTTTCCTGTATTCGCACCTTGCTTATTGGATAGGCTATTGGAAACCAAAACCAAATAAGAACTCGAACAAGTGGAGCAACAGTTGCACCAATGGCTAACCTGTACCTTGTACAGAGAGATTGTGGTATAATCTGCATACCAAAATGTTACTTAATTGGAACATTATACTCGATAGAAAATGAAAGCAAAAGCAGAAAAAATATATTAAAAAATCCCTTTTTGCACATGCTAAGGCGTTTAATTTGTAAAATTCGAGAACTAACCTCACCAAAGAGGAGTATCAATGTTACTGAAAGAAGAATTGCTCCCCAATCTGGCACTAATTCGTCCAGAAAAACAGGAAGTGCCTGAGAAATCAAAGTATTCCTATCAATTGCAATTGAATAATAATTGTTACGGCTTCTCTTTTATAGCAGCAGCGCTTACCTCCATAGCAGTAGCGTTGCTAATCAGAAGCGTACATAGCAATAGATGTTGTTGCTTCACAATGGGCAAGATCTTTGCTGAAGTTACCAGAAAAGTAGCAGTTAAACATGTTGATACACAATTAAAAAATCAACTCTTCAATCTTGTCAAAAGACCAAGAAAAATGTCTTAAAATTTTCACTTGTTAACTCTATAATTGGAAATATTGGAGCAATGAATATATGTGGAGAGTACATACAAGCATGGAGACGGTCTTTGGGCGTTCCAGATTTTGCAAGAACTTCAAGATCAATGACGCTCATAGACATGAGTCCTAACGTGAGGCCAGACATGAGACCAGCACACAAGACTAGAAACACAACTGCTGCGATATAGATGAAGAACTCTGTATTGCAACATTTCAAGTACGTGTGTCCCATTTTAGTTTCTTCCTTCCTAATTTTCACCTTTATTGTGTCCTCTTAATTAATGAAATGTAATTCTCTTTGTGACTATGCTTGAAAGATTAATAAAAATGAAAACAAGCTAGTTTTGGGCGAGAAATCCCATGAGCAATTAGTGGAATATCTTTTTGCCTGCATGCAGAGAATAATAATATATCCGGATACAAAACAAGGCTAAATTTTTGAACTAGTATTTATATTTATTTCAAATCTTTTGTCATAAAAAATGGAGGCAAAACTTTAATTTGGATAGGCGAAAGGCCAGCCGCGCTATGGCTTAGCAATCCGATGCTCAAGTCTCTTGGTTTACTCGATAAGTACATGAATCCAATTGTTGCCTTATTAATTTTAGCAGTACATAATTGTTTTCTAAAGCCATCATTAATTCCCTTCCGGTTCGAAGTTGTCTATCAAAGTCCACTTCAGTAAAGATTGATTATTTAGAATGTGATTTCTATAACTAATTTGTTTCTATACCTAAAGGAAATGAAAAGCAATAACTAAACATAAACAGAGAAAAACTAGACTATTTGAAATGGGTGAAAATCATTTACATTTCCAACTTTACTTTAAAAATCAAACTCTCCATCAATTTTGAGAAATAATCATTCTTTGTCTTTTTTTCCTAACTGGCTTTTTAAAATGTCTATTCTACCCTTACATTATTAATCTTTTTTTTTTCTATACTTCTTTTAAATTATATGACAATTTTTTATTAAGAAAAATATTAATTTCGTCTAAAAAAGAAAAGGAAAAAAAATTGATTGAGTATATAATTTAATGTCGTTCTATAATGAAACAAATGAACAAAATAAAAATAATGTTATTAATTTTAACGAAATCTATAATGTAATAACATTGTTATCATATTTTGATCAAAGTAATAAAAATAATTAATAAAAATATATTTCATACCAATTTCTTTAAAAAAATTACCTATTTATATTGTAGATAAATTTTAAATTATAATTTAAAAAATATTTCATTAATTACAATCAAAATTTGTTTATCTACCTAGATAATAGAAAATAAGAGATAGGCATAGCTACAAAACTAACCAACTATGAGAAGATCCCCAAACTATTTATCAAGGACCTGATCTGGAACCTCGAGTTAGTGAACCTTCCTTGCATGTAAACTATAAAACTTTACATATCTTTTATTTGTTTCATAAGGAGGTAGTAGCAACTAGCAACCACGAACCTCGTTACTAGGAATAGTTGGCAATATAAACTTTCGGAAAATAATTCAACAAATTTACGGTACCAAAATATAACTAATATTCTATTCTTTATTCGTAATTCATTCAAATTTTCATTATTTATAAAACTAGTAAGTATATTTGATAGTTTTGATTTTTGGAATATTAATATTTCACAGTGTCCCTTCCATTCAAAATCTCATTATTTTATAAAACTGGTAAGTATATTTGAATCCGGAATCTAAAGGGCAAAAAAATTGTCAAAAATTTCAAAGGGGTACATCAAATTAATTTTTTAACTAAAAGGGTAAAAGTGCTCCTCACAAAGCGATTTTCTTCTGACGTCGTTACTCTGTTAGAATCAAAATCACTAACCTACCAGCGATTTTGTCCAAAAAAAAATTCCTTTGTTTTAAGAACATCGCTCCAAGAGAAGCATTTTTTGCGATTTTAAAAAAAAATAAAAAATCGCTACTATGACAGCGTTGTTATAAAAAATTTATTTTTAATATCAAAATTAGCAGCTATTTTCTTTCAGAATTATATAATTAAAAAAAATTGAAAATCGCTCCACATGTAGCGATTTCAGTAAAAAAAATAATCTTTGGCAGCGATTTTCTCAAAAAAAAATTCAAACAATTGTAGCGTTATTAAAAAAATAAAAAAAAACTAAAATCGCTACAAGTGGAGCGATTTCCAATTTTATTTTTTTTAATTTCTAAAAGAAAATCGCTGCTAATTTTACTATTAAAAATAATTTTATTTTTTAAAAAATAATTTGCGAAAAACGCTTCTCGGGCAGCGATTTTCTTTAAAAAAAAAAGGAAATTTTTTTTGGACAAAATCGCTAGTAGGTCAGCGATTTTGATTCTAACGGAGTAACAACGTCAGAAGAAAATCGCTACGTAAGGGGCGTTTTTGCTCTTTTGGTAAAAAAAATTGATGTACTCCTTCGAAATTTTTGACAATTTTTTTTTGCCCTTTAGGATTCCGGACTCAAGTATATTTGATAGTTTTGATTTCAGAATATTAATATTTCACAGCGTTCCTTCCAATGATATACTTCATTTGTCCCAATTTAAGTGATATCTTTTGATTATCGAGAATCAAGCTTCTTAATTTTGATCATAAATTTGAACATAGAATCTTTATTTATTTTTAAAATAAAATTTACATATTTAAAAATAACTTAAATTAAAGTACTATAACTCACTATAATTGATAATTTTAAAATAACTAAAAAATATAGTATATGAAAAAAATAAATAAATCTTTTACCTCTCAAAACATGAACGATGCCACATAAATTGATATAAAGGGAGTAAGGAAAAATCCTTTTGGCCATAAAAATTTGGCCAGAATGGTAAAATGACATGTGCACACTATAAACTAGTTTATTTTTGGACATTTTTGCACTTTAACTTAAATATTGAATATATTCTTCAATTATGTTTCCAATACATTCAAAATGATTAATTAGATTAATTGTTGATAATTTCATAATTAAACATGAGAAAGGAACCACGAAATTCACCAAAAGAAAATATAAGTCTCTTACCCACTCTTCTTACTTGAAAATTTCAAGATCTATAAAAATAATTAAAATATATATATATATATATATTATTATTATTTTTCCATTTCTAAATTCCCCCCTTTCTACTTATTCTTTTTTTGTTTATTTATTTTTCATTTCTTCTTTCTTAATGATAAAAAAAATAATTAAAAAGTACAAAAGAGGAGTAAAGTGTAGGCTGTCTATTTTAGTTTATAATTTCTAATTGTGAAAAGATAAATTATATCTAAATTTAAATATTAAAAATTTATATCTATAATACTCAAAATAAAAAATCTGAAATTCACCAAGTTAACAAAACAATTACTCTTATTATTTAAAGGAGTTGTTGTTACGCATGAATTTTCTAGAAAAAAAATTAAATGATAAAAATATATTTATCCGATTATACTTAGAATGTATGTGAGCGAAATATGAAGAAAACTGAAATTACCATTATGTTTCGTCCATTATATGATTGCTTTCATATCCTCGAACGTATATGAATCACATCATACATAAATAAAGACTCATTAAAATTAATATTTATTTATTTATTTATTTTAGTACTAGAGAGGTATACAAATATCTTTTTGGGAAAAAATGTTGATGGTGCTTCATTGAAAAATTATAATAACTAGGAAAGGATATAGAACGTTTTTTATGATTTCAAAATAAACTTTTATAAAAAAAATTTGAAAGAAAAACATCTTCATAGTTCTCCGATGATAATGACAACACAAATTTATTAAACATGAACAAGATCAAAGTTTCATCACATATATATTTTTTTCTTTATTAGTATTATTTGTTGTTTTATTAAATGATATGTTAAAATATTAAGTATACATAGTTGTAGTCACAATATATATATTTTTTGCTCTCAAATTAATATTTTTTTGAAACTGATTAAGAATTTTTAAAATTAAGTAATTTTATTGTATTTATTATATGAATAAATTTAAATTACCTATTTAACTAATTATTTAAATTCAATTTTAAATAATTTTTTTAATTCAATTTTAAAATATTTTTTTAAATATAATGTAAAATAGTTCAATATAACAGTCAATATTCAGAATACTTTAGGATCGGTAGATATCGACACAATAAAGAAATATTAAAAATCATATGGTTCATAAGTGTCGATCCTATTTCACAACAAACCAAGATAGTTATACATTAATGTTGTAGTTTTGATATTGTTAATTATTATGTTTTAAAAAATTAAACTTCATATTTAAATATTATCTTTCAAAAAAATAAACTTCATATTTAAATATTATGTTTTAAAAAATTAAATTACGTATTTAAAACTACATATTTAAAAAATTAAACTACATATTTTATTATTATGTTTTAAAAAAATAAATTACGTAGTTCTATAATGTGTTGATTTTTATCAATTCTAATGTATTTTGAGTTTTGTTTATTGTTATTGAAATATTTTTCAAATTATATTTAAAAACATATTTTTATGTATATTATTAACATGAATTTAATTGTCTCCTTCGGTAAAAAGTTCTATATTAAATGAAAATTATTTTCTTAAAATGTATATCCTAATGGGAAAATCCTTTTGGCCATAAAAATTTAATGTGTTATTCATGGCATAGTTATAAATGTCTTATCATCAATTATTTTTTAGAAATATCTAATTTTCAAAATAATATTATTTTTTCTCTTGAAAAACATCCAATATATATAGACTAATTTATTTAGTTGATTATATTAAAAGAAAAATTCAACTAATTTTTTTTGAATCCACTCTTAATTACAAAATAATTAAGAATAATCTTAAGTAGACAAGATAGTCATTTGTAGTTAATATCAATGAGAAATTTAATTGTCTTCTTCATATTTATTTTAAGTGAAAAAATATTTTTTCAAAGGTATGCATTGGTACCTTATGAACATTTTTTAAAGGTACTATTCAATTTATTTATTTTTAACTAAAACGTGCAATTTTTTTTTATTAAATGAACAATATTTATTTTTAAAAATAAATCGAATGAATTATACACATATACAAAAAAATATTTTTTTTATTAACTGAACAAAATATTCAAATAATGATAAGTAAATAAATCCTCAAATAGATGTTTAAGACTGAAAGTAATCATTGAAATAATTTTTTTAAAAAGAAATCACATGTGAGAAGTATCAAATATATTACTGAATTTTGTGAGAAGTATCACATTAAAGGGAGTTTCTAAAATT